CTTGCACTTTCGGGGGGATTTAAACATCCCCCCGAAATTTTTTTAAACTTTTTGTATTTTTGTGCACACGTGGGGACTGGCCCACGTGTGCACAAACCTCCCCCGGCCCCCCAGCTGCCCCCTCCGTGCTGATTTAGCGATCCGCACGGAGGGGGCAACTTGGCTATTAGATATATAGATAATGGAGACCCAGATGGAACAATTACCCAAAGAGACACAGGCAGGGCTATTTTTGGGCAGGAACGCACAGGAACGGAGTTCCGGCTGGCTCCTGAGTTGGCCACGCCCAGCAGGAACTCATTAGCATAATAGGCCACACCCAAGAGCAGAAACTCATTAGGATTGGCTACATTAGGGGTGTGTGGCCTAACATGCAAAGGAGTTCCTGCTACAAAAAAGGCCCTGGGTTTTGACAACAAACAAGGTAAAGAGAATAAGAAGGGAAAGGTGGGTGTGGCTGGATGAGCACACTTCTGGCAACATGGGGGTGCAGCCTTATAGGCTAATGAGTGGTGCTGTAAGGGGTGTGGCCTATTATGCTAATGAGTTCCTGCTGGGCTTTTTCTACAAAAAAAAAGCCCTGGACATAGGGCAGCAGGAGATACCAGACATTACAGCCAGATCTGATGGATACCTTCTCAGAAGTGAGTTCAGTTCTGTTTGTTCCCCGGCAAATGTACCTGGAGAGTCTCCAGTTCATGCTCAGTCCACAGATGCAAACATATAAACCGCAAGGGTAGACCATCAAAAGACACACAACTTTCACAAGTAAACAGTAGATATCAGTCTATTGCAATGCAATAACATTAAATGGAAGATACGATAGACTTGGTGGTCACAATTCAAAAACACTGTTTGCAAATTCAAAATACCATTTGGTGATAGCGGAAAATATACAACAAGAGACTCCTCTATATCCTTTGAATATAATAGTGTCCAAAAGACCTCAAAGTCACCAAATAAGGCAGAGGAGGTCACAAAGCACAAATAAACTAACAGCCGAAAACGTCCTTCCCAGGTATGCCAGACGTTTCAAAGCATTCTTCTTCAGTTGTACGGCTGAAAATGGAACCCGATTTCCACAGTAATGTAGGCACAGCTCATATTTCAAATGTAATCTGTGGAATCTGTATGTTTTGATGGTCTACCCTTGCGGTTTATATTTTTGCATACTACATACGCTTGGGGTTCCTATTATTTGGCCCGGTCCACAGATGCAGCAAAATGAGAGAAGGGACTCCACAGTGTAGAATCACGTTTTGATTTGTAAGATACCAACAGTGTGGTTAAAGCCAGAAACTTGGCTGATGGGTTAAGGACCTGGTTATCTGCAGGGAGCCTATCCCAGCTTTGAACACCGATACGCATTAGAAGTCTGAACAGAAAACGCGCCCAGCAGGGTGAAAGTCGCTCTGTCCTGGCTCTGTTTGCAATTAAAATTTCCTTCAGATGGGGGGAAGAACTAGCCAAGCAAGTGGTGGTTGGACACAGTGCAGTCCATTCATGTCGCGTCTACGGTTGCCAAGCTGGGAAATTCCTGGAGAAGCAGCCATTTCTCCAGGGGAACTGATTTCTGTAGTCTGGAGATCTGTTGAAAGCCCAGGAGATCTCTAAACCGCACTTGGAGGCTGACAACCTGAATGGCAGCACAAGTTTGGAAACCGCTGGAGATTTGGGGTGGAGTCAAGGGAGGGTAAAGGTAAAGGTTCCCTTGCTCGAAAGCCAGTCGAGTCCGACTCTAGGGTTGCGGTGCTCATCTCCGTTTCAAAGCCGAAGACCCAGCACTGTCCGAAGATGTTTTCATAGTCATGTGGCCGGCATGACTAAATACCAAGGCGCACGGAACGCTGTTACCTTCCCACCGAAGTGGTACCTATTTATCTAATTGCAATTTCTTGGCAGTAGTCATGTATAGCTGCGAGAGTTGGACTATAAGGAAGGCCGAGCGCCGAAGAATAGATTCTTTTGAACTATGGTGCTGGAGAAGACTCTTGAGAGTCCCTTGGACTGCAAGGAGATCCAACCAGTCAATCCTGAAAGAAATCAACCCTGACTGTTCCCTGGAAGGCCAGATACTGAAACTGAAGCTCAAATACTTTGGCCACCCAATGAGAAGGGAGCCCTCACTGGAGAAGACCCTGATGCTGGGAAAGACTGAAGGTCCATGAAGACGGGGACGGCAAAGGATGAGATGGTTAGACAGTGTCATCAATGCAACGAACATGAAATTGAGCAAACTTCAGAGGACGGCGGAAGACAGGAGGGCCTGGCGTGACCTGGTCCATGGGGTTGCGAAGAGTTGGACTCGACAGTGCAACTGAACAACAACAACTAGGGACGGTGGGACCTGGGGAGGGACCTTAGTGCCAAGAATCCCCATCTCCAAAGCAGCCAGCTTCTCCAGGGGAACTGATATATGTACTCCAGAGATCACTTGCAATTCCAGGAAATCTCCAGCCGCCACCTGGAGGTTGGCAACATACCCTGCATGTGTGACCCACCAGGCTTTACTACCTATTTTTTATTCGTCCGTGCAAAATCCAAAAAAAGAGGAACAAAGATCCTTACAGATCTTTTATTGCCCCAACCCAATCAGCACAATAAAACCAGGGGCCTGCGACGCCTCCCGCCGGCCACCAGAGGGCGCGGCGAAATCCCCGGCGGCGACTGTCAAGTTCTGGCCGGCGCACGTGACCAAATTGTCATGTGACCATGCGGAAGGTTCAATGTGGCGGCCTCCATGGAGCGCCTGCTGGGCGTGCAACTGAACCAGAGGCGGCCGTCAGTGGGGGCTTTGGCCGCTTTCTCCTTGGCGTGTCTCTGGTGCTGCTGCTTTTGGGGGGTTCAGGGCAGAGAGGCCGTCTGGTGAGTGGGATTCAGGGCAGAGAGGGAAAAGGGGCTTTGCAAACTGCAGCCCATACGGAAATAGATTAGGGTTGCCAGATGTGCGTTTGGTTTGAATTACCTGGAGGTATTGGGGGTAGAACCTGAGGAGGCTGGGGTTTGGGGAGGGAGCTCCGCAGGGTGTATTGTCATAGAGTTCACCCTCCAAAGCAGCTGTTTTCTCCGGGGGTGTGTGTGATAGCTTTAGTCTGGAGATCAGTTGTAAAAGCGGAAGATCCCCAGGCCCCACCTGGAGGTTGGTAACTCTAAATAGATCAAGATGGGTCGCCGTGTTAGTTTGTCAGGAGCAGTAGAGAAGAGCAAGAGTCCAGTTGTGCCTTAAAGACTAGTAAAATTTGTGGCAGGGGAGGAGCTTTTGTGAGTCATTGCTCACTTCTTCATACGGAAGTAACTCTGGTTCCCTCCCCATCTGATTTATTTTATTTTATTTACATCCCGCCTTTCTCCCAAAATAGGGACCCAAAGCAGCTTACATTCTCCTCCTTTCCTCCGTTTTATCCTAACAACAACCCTGTGAGGTAGGTCAGGTTGAGACTGGGTGGCTGGACTAATCCACACAAGCAGACTGAGGTGTTGTGGGGTCGCGAGGAGACGGTATGCACTGCCCCCCCCCAACAAGGGTATTTTTAAATGATGGAATTGTAGTACTCCCTGTGAGTAGAAAGTCCAGATGGTGGCATATATTGAAGCTTTAATTTGTTTCAGTTTGTCCCCACTTTGATTTGTTTTACTACCCTTACCTGTAGAAAAGAGCCAGCGTCCAGGAGCGCCTTAAAGACTAACAAAATATGTGGCAGGGAAGGAGTTTTCATGAGTCACAGCTCACTTCTTCAGATGCAGCTTGATCTATACCCTGACCTGGATAGCTCAGGCTAGCCCGATCTCGTCAGATCCCAGAAGCTAAGCAGGGTTGGCCTTGGCTAGTATTTGGAAGGGCAACCTCCAAGGAATACCAGGGTCGAGATGCAGGGGGAGGCAATGCAAACTACCTCTGAAACATCTGTTGCCTCAAAAACAAGTCCGGCTCCCCACCTAGTGGTGCAGAAGAAGAAGAAGAAGAAGAGATTGGATTTATACCCCGCCCTTCACTTGGAGTCTCAGAGCGGCTTACAAACTCCTTTCCCTTCCCCTCCCCACAACAGACACCCTGTGAGGTGGGTGGGGCTAAGAGAACTCTGACACAAACTGCTCTTTTTCAAGGACAGCTGTGCCAGAGCTTGTGACTGACCCAAGGTCACATCAGCAGGTGCAAGTGGAGGAGTGGGGACTCAAACCCGGTTCTCCCAGATTAGAGTCCGCGCACTTAACCACTACACCAAACTGGCTCTCCAAATAACTAAAATAACTAGAACTCGTGGCTGCCAGACAGTCTTAGGATCTCCTGGCTATTCTACACACACTGCCATACGATACTTACTCATTATTATGTGTTTTACTGACGTTCTTTATAACCTGCCCTTCTGACTGAGACTCAAGGCGGGTGGCACAGTGTAGGTCAATGTAATCAATACAATGGGGATTGATCTCCAGGCAACCAAGGTCAGTTCCCCTGGAGAAAATGGCTGCTTTGGAGGGGGGATTCTCTGGCACTGTGCCCTGCTGAGGCCCCTCCCCTCCTGAAACTACATCCTCCCCAGGCTCCACCCCCAAGAACTCCAGAGATTTCCCAACTCAGAGCTGGTGGCTCAGCTGTGGACTATGCGACTCTCTATATTACGTTCCTGTATATTTTGCTTCTTCGAATGCGCCCTGTCAATACTTAAGCTTTGGTGCAGCTCCGTTTCAGATTTCGACTTGGCTCCAGGACTCTTCAAATCCAAATCTTTTTGCTTTGTTTATTGGATGTCCCGTCCTGGCGATTGCATTGACTTACACAGTGTTGTCCACCTTGAACCCTATTGAGAAAGGCAGACTATAAATAGTGTAAATAATCCTTAGTAATGATAAGAAGATAATAATAATAATAATAACAACAACAACCAGGACCAGGGCATTTTCGGTGGCGGCTCCTACCTGGTGGAAGGAGCTCCCGAAAGAGATCCAGGCCCTGCGGGACCTCTCACAGTTCCTCGGGGCCTGTAAGACGGAGCTCTTCCGCCAGGCCTTTGAGTAGGAGCCGCTGCCACCACTATTCCACCTCCGCCTCCTATGCACTGGCGTATTACCATCATGATTATCTGGACCCCACCAGGGGCGCGAGGTGACCGGGCAGGGATTGGATGATAAGATCTCAGGAAGTTACCATGGAGGTTAAGATCTACCAATCTTGGGTAAATTTGTATTGTAAATTTGTTTACTGTATTTTATTGTAATTTATTGTTTTATATTATGTATTTTATTGTTATAACTTTGGCACATAGTGCCCTTGTTAGCCGCCCTGACCCTACGGGGTAGGGCAGGATATAAATCCAAACATAAAAAATAAAATAAATACATAAAGGATAAATGCTGTTTAAGAAGCCCGCATACCTCAGTCAAGTACTGCTTATTGTGCCTCCCATAAGGATAACTTTGGTTAGGGACAGTCTCTTTTAAACCTGTCGGCTACCATCTACTTCATTTTCGTTTCGGCAAAGCCCGTTGTTAGTCACTTTGAAACTGCCTGGGGATAGAAGGGGGCTCAGGGGTAGAGCGAGGGTATCCACCTTCCATGTGGGGCCTGAATAGGGTTGCCAGTCCCACCCTGGACACTGGTGGCAGATGGGGAGGGGCAGAGTTGCCAGATCCAGGTGGGGAAACTCCTGGAGATTTGGGGGTGGAGCCTGGGGAGGACAGGGGACCGCAGTGGGGTGCGATGCCACAGAGCCCACCTTCCAAAGCATCCATTTTCTCCAGGGGAACTGATCTCTGTAGTCTGGAGATGAGCTGCAATTCCAGGGGATCCCCAGGCCCCACCTGGAGGATGGCATCCCTAGCCCTGAGTGACAACTGATCTCCAGGCAACAGAACAGTTCTCCTGATGAAAATGGCTGCTTTGGAGGGTGGGCTTTATAGCATTATACCCAGCTGAAATCCTTCTCCTCCCCAAATCCCGCCCCCCCCCCGGAATCTTCAGGATGTTCCCAACCTAGAGTTGGCAACTGTAGGTGGTGCTGTAGCTTTTTCTGTAGAAAGTCCCAGGATCAGTCCCTGGCATCGCCAGTTAAAGGGCCTCAGGGAACAGGAGCTGGGGACAGGCCGGTAGCCAGAATTTTGTGGAATGTGGGGCAATTTTTTTCTGGTGGGGCTGAAGTTCTCATTGCAGAAAGAAAAGCCATGTAGCCAGTAGAGAGCTGTTACCAGGATAGATCTCTAAATTGCAAGCTGTCAACCACTTTAGAATGACAGTTCTCAGCTGCTGCAAGTTAATCACTTCTGCCAGCCCAAGCAACAATTTGGATAACAAGCCGGCAGGTGGGAGTGATGACTCCTGTAATCAAGAAAGCTAACACTTGGGCAGAAAAACTCTCTGAAAGGAGATCAGTTTCTTGACACAGAGTTAGAAGGGATCCTAGAGGTCACCTACTCCAACCCCCTTGCTCAGTGCAGTAATTAGTCAACTACAGCACCCTACCCTGCTTAAAGGAGCACACACCTTTAAAAATGTTTTTAAATTATTGGAAAAAGCATTTCCAGGAGAAATTCTTGTGGGGCTGTGCTTTTAAGAAAGGAGGTGGAGCCCCCAAAAGCCCCACCGTAGCTACGCGTCTGGGTGGGGAAGACCAGGAAGCAGATGTCAGTCTGAGGACGCCCCTAAGAGATACGTGAACCAAGGAGATGAGGCAGCTTAGTAAATAGGTGCAAATTGCATCAGACTGTCTTACTGACTTCTGAAACACGATCACTTTCAGGACATCGTTGAACGATGACCTCTTGCTGCCGTACCCCCCTTCCCAACACGGTCCCCAGCACCACCACCGGTACGTCAGAGACTGTCAGCCGCTCGCGCACGGCAACACAACGCACGAATCCTGGCCCGCCGACAACAGCAGCGCCAGCCCACCGACCATCACCCGTGCGTTTGTTTCGTACTTCCCTCCTGAAGGGCAGGATCGAAGGGCCGTGTACGGGCATTTCACTGTGGTGAGTGACCCTTTAAGGACGTTCTCCGTGTTAGAACCCAGTGGGCAGGGAGGGTGCCGGAGCCGCACGAGAGCCACCGTGGAAGAGACCTCCCGGCTCGGCAAATGCCTTGTGGCCCAGAACGGCGGCTATTTTGACATGGACACCGGGGAGTGCCTTGGGAACATCGTAAGCGACGGGCAGTTGGTCCAGACCTCCAAAGGACTGCAGAATGCTCAGTTTGGCATCCGGCAAGATGGCACACTAGTCTTTGGGTAAGCATTGCCTGTTTTTCTCTGCCAGTGGTTCTATAGTACCATAGTACTAACAATAAAGTAAAACCTGTCTTGGAAGTGTGTGCTCTGTTGTTTGGCTGTGGGTCCTGACACCTCCTTACATCCAGGGTGGCCAGTTGGATCCAGTTTTACCCGGCTTCCCTGGTGGCGTGGAGAAATCAGCGTTGGTAATGAGACAGGAAACCTAGGTCTCGATTCAGTCCAGGTGGATGCATTGTCTTGAGCTTCATTATCCTTTGCAATTCAGCCATCTCTCTCTGCCCTGCTGGGATAGATTCCTAGTACAGTGTAGTGGCTAGAGTTCCTTACTTTGTGGGAGAGCCAAATCTGCCACAGCACTCGCTGGGTGTGGCCTTGGGCAGGTCATTCACTCTCAGCCTCTCCTACCTCGCAAGGTTGCTGTGAGGATAAAACAGGAAACGTACACTGCCTCTGAGCTTCTGGGAAAGCAGGGCAGTCTATTAATGCTCTAGAATCAGTACTGATGTACTCAAATGTACTATGTAAAGAGCATTGTTCCGGAGGGCCATTTTTGTAAAGATGGGACTACTTTATAACAGAGCGGTTCGAGAGATCTTTCAAGGAAGGGAAGGGGTCTGTAGACTGCTGCTTTGTATAGGGTGTGTTATCTGTTGCTGCACACATTATCTTGTTCTCTATGAACTGTATTTTTACTTGTGTAATATCATTTACCGCTTGCTTTAACACATCATGGAGCTGCGGTGGCTCAAGTGGTTAAGACGCTGAACTGCAGGCTGTGGAAGGTCGGTAGTTCAGCAGTTCGAGACCCGGATGCCGCATGACGGAGTGAGCTCCCGTCTCTAGTTCCAGCTCCTGCCAACCTAGCCGTTCGAAAGCAAGAAATTGCAAGTAGATAAATAGGGACCACTTCGGTGGGAAGGGAACAGCGTTCCGTGCGCATTGGTGTTTAGTCATGCCGGCCACATGACCACGGAAACGTCTTCGGACAGCGCTGGCTCTTCGGCTTTGAAACGGAGATGAGCACCGCAACCCTAGAGTCGGACTCAACTGGCTTTCGAGCAAGGGAACCTTTACCTTTACCTTTAACACATCATGTTCAGTACTTATGCTTTGCTCTGATTTCTGCAATCCCAGTCCTATAACACTGCTTATTAAATGTCTCATTGCATTGATCGCATTGACTAAGGGCTTTTCTGCATTTGCATTTTCTTCGCTTGTGTGCTTCTGTTGCTTCAGAGTTTTCATCTGATCTAATTTATTACAGCAAGAGCTAGTAAAACAGTACAATTCTGATATAAGAAAGATTAAAGCGGTAATGACATAGCAATAGCATAAAAACATTAACAAGAGAAAATTAATAAAATAATATTAATAAGAGATTCATACAAGTTTTTCAGCTAAAATGAGTTTACATTTCTTAATAGCTAAGAAACAAAATTTTGCCACCGCACAAGTCCTGTTCTGCACGTCTTTTGTTCCCTCTAGTGGTCAATTCGATATTACACCATGTTATGTCCAGCATAAACACCTGCTGTTTAAATCTGCTGGGTCATATGTTGGACATAACCTGGTGTAATAATGAATCGGCCACTAGAGGGAGCAAAACACATGCTGAACAGAAACAACAACGACCACAAAACAGGAACTTACAAGCAAGGAAAATGGGAATATAGAAAAGCCCTTACATTCTGTAACCTGCCTTAAGTCTCTCTGAGAAAGACGGACTACAAATAATCCAAATAGACAGGTTCCTTGACCCAAATGATTTATTTTGTTTCTTTTGAATATTTCTATGCCCCGTCTTCAGAATCCTGCTCATGGCGGCTTACCATTAAAGACCACAGTATAAAACACGAGCCGTTTCTAGATGTACCGGTAAGGGGGCAGATGTTCGGGAACACTCTCGCCACCCTTCTTTCTCATCTCTTCCAGCTATCTTTCAGAAGAGGAGGTCCTAGCGGAGGAGAACCCCTTCGTCCAGCTGGTGAGTGGTGTGGTTTGGCTGTTGCGTGACGGCGAGGTTTACGTGAACCAGAGCCGAGACCTGGAATGCAGCAAGACACAGACGACGGGTGAGCGCCTGAAATTGCAGTCTCCGCCAAAGGGGGTTGTAGCTGTAAACGGGGGTGGGGTTGGGAGGCATTTAAAGAATGCATTTGTTGTTTAATTTTCTGCTTGTGCAAATGACGGCTTTACTTATGAGGTGGAAATGCAAGACTGATTGACTGATCGATTGATTGCATTTATATCCCACCCTCTCCCATGCTGGGCTCGGGGCGGCTCACAACATGAATAAAATACAACAAATATAAAATTAAAAACCAGTTAAATGACAGCTAAGATGGCCGCTAAGAAACATACATGTCTTTGAATCCCCAGTGATGAATGAGGGTGGCATATGTTATCAACAGAAGCAATATGTGTGTGTGTGTGTACGAATGAGAGACAACATTGCAAATTTACTCAAAGTTACAGGGGAGGCACTGTGACTTACTGGCGGAGCAGAAGGTCCCAAGAATAGATCAGTAAAAGGATCTAGCAGGTGGGAAAGACCCCTGCCTGAGACCCTGGAGAGCTGCTGCCCGTCTGAGTAGACAAGACTGACTTTGATGGATCCAGGGTCTGATTCAGTACAGGGCAACTTCATGTCTGTTTAGGGAGGGGCCGTGGCTTAGTGGTAGAGCCTCTGCTTGGCATGCAGAAGGTCCCCGGTTCAATCCCCAGTATCTCCAGTTGAAAGGGTCAGGCAGCAGGTGATGGGAAAGACCTCCGCCTCAGACCTTGGAGAGCCATAAATAGGGGCTGTGGCTCAGTGGCAGAGCCTCTGCCTGGCATGCAGAAGGTCCCTGGTTCAATCCCCGGCACCTCCAGTTGAAAGGACCTCTGCCTGAGACCCCGGAGAGCTATAAAGAGGGGCTGTGGCTCAGTGGTAGAGCCTCTGCTTGGCGTGCAGGAGGTCCCAGGTTCAATCCCTGGCATCTCCAGTTGAAAGGACCTGGCAGGAGGTGATGGGAAAGACCTCAGTCTGAGACCCTGGAGAGCTGTGAAGAGGGGCTGTGGCTCAGTGGCAGAGCCTCTGCTTGGTAGGCAGAAGGTCCCGGGTTCAATCCCTGGCATCTCCAGTTGAAAGGACCAGGCAGCAGGTGATGGGAAAGACCTCAGCCTGAGACGCTGGAGAGCTGTAAAGAGGGGCTGTGGCTCAGTGGCAGAGCTTCTGCCTAGCGTACAGAAGGTCCCAGGTTCAATCCCTGGCATCTCCAGTTGAAAGGACTGGGCAGCAGGTGATGGCAAAGACCTCCGCCTGAGACCCTGGAGAATTGCTGCCAGTCTGAGCAGACGATACTGATTTTGACAAGATGGCATACAATCTCGGGGGGGACAATGTATACCCTGTCTACTCAGAAGGAAAGGGGAGAGGAAGGGAAGAACGGAGAAAGAACAGAAAGAGAGGAGGAGGCCAGTCCATGATGGAACCTGGCGCTGCCCAAAACTATAAGCTCGGCAGAACAGCTCTGTTTTACAGGCCCTGAGGAACTGTGTCAGTTTAAGAACATAAGAACATAAGAGATGCCAATGTTGGATCAGGCCAAAGGCCCATCCAGTCCAACACTCTGGGTCACACAGTGGCCAGAAATACCAGTGCCATCAGGAGGTCCAGCAGTGGGGCCAGGACATTAGTTTGGTGTAGTGGTTAGGAGCATGGACTCTAATCTGGGAGAACCGTGTTTGATTCCCTACTCTGCCACATGTAGCTGCTGGTGTGACCTTGGGTTCTTTCAGGGCTGTTCTCTCACGAGCAGTCCTTGAAAGAGCTCTCTCAGCCCCGCCTACCTCACAGGGTGTCTATTTTGGGGAGAGGAAGGGAAAGGTGATTGTAAGCCGCTACTCTGAGTGAAGGGCGGGGTACAAATCCAATCTCCTCCTCCTTTTCTTCTTCCTCCTCCTCCTCCTCTTCTCTACATCTGGCATTTCTGGTTTCAGAATGCAAAACGTGTAGATTAAAATGTATTTAAAGTTGACCTTAAATGAGTTTGAGGACTTCAGGAGGGGATTTGTGCTGAGCAAAAACAAATACCCCCCCTCCCACCCTTCAGAATGACTTATTTTTCTTCCCCGCCTCTCCCTCTTCCCCCGGCAGGGACCTTTGACACGTTCATCCATACGATATCTGCCCGGACAGCCGTGGGACACGACAAAGAAGGCCGTTTGGTCTTGCTGCACGTGGACGGCCAGACAGGCGGGAGGGGGTAAGTCTGTTTCACACGTCAACACCCCCATCCCAAATATTTAATTAGTGCCTTTTTAATCCCACCTTTCCCCTACGGTTGCCAATTCTGGGCTGGGTAATCGCTGGAGATTCGGGGTTGGAACCTGGGCGGCGTTTGGGGAGAGAAGGGACCTCGGCGGGCCTAGCCCTGTGGAGTCCACCTTCCAAAGTAGCCATGTCCTCCAGGGTAACTCACCTTTGTAGTCTGGAGATGAGTTGTAATCCCAGGAGAACTCCGGGCCCTTCTTGGAGATGGGCAACCCTGGTTTCCTCCAGCTTGAGGCAGCCTGCAGCCACCTCCTCCATTCTATCCTCACAACAACAACCCTGCAAGGTGGGTTAAGGCTGAGCGAGCGGGATCAGCCAAGGTCATCTAGCAGGCTCCATCTCCCCGTGGGGATTTGTATATAAAACCTCCTAGATCTCAGTGCGGCATGTTGACTGCTACACCGAGCCGGCCGTCACGTTCAGCGGGTCCCACAATGGAAGCTTCGCCTGAGCTGACTCGCTCGAAACCAAAGATCCCAGCCTCTAGATGAATGGCAATGGATCCCGGTAAAGCACCTTGGAAGACCGTTCTCGCTCGCAGTTTTTTAGCCTCCGGCTCACGCATTTTTTCTTCGCTCAGGAAGGAGGGCTCCGGAGCAAACTAACGTATGCGGGAGCCCAATCGCTCGCTCGCAGCTTTCATGCCAGGAGCTCACAAGGTAGAATTTTTGCTCACAGGACTCCACAGCTCAGAGGCTGTGTTGATTGGTTTAGCTTTTATTACTGGCAGTCCTAATTGGAGGTGTTTTGTTTTGTTTTTAAAAAGGTATATTTTTGTATTTTTCATACGTCCTTTGTGTGTGTGTGCACCCGGAAGTCATGGCGACCTCCGGTGACTGACCCCTACTGGGGGCCTGGAGGATATTCGGAGAGGCGGCTGAATGGAGCCTGCCCCCCGCCTCCCAACCAGTGTTCCCTCTAAGCTGAGTGAGTGTGAGCCAGCTCACTGTTTTTTAGCCTCCAGCTCACCCATTTTTGCCTTAGCTCAGGAAGGAGGACTCCAGAGCAAACTGCTTTATGCAGGGGCCAAATCGCTCGCTTACAACTTTAACGCCAGGCGCTCACAGAGTAGAATTTTTGCTCACAAGACTGCACAGCTTAGAGGGAGCAGAGTCCCGCCGCCTGCTGGTATTCCAAGGAGGTCTCCTGTCCAAGGACTTGCCAGAGTCGATCCTGCTTAGCTCGTGAGATCTGCCGAGATTGGGCTTGCCTGGCGTTCTTAAATCCTTGACTTTTTATGGGTTTTACTGTTGTTGTTTTTATTGTTGTTTTTATGGTGTTTTCTTTGTGTCGCAAGCCGCCTCGAATTCCGCAAGGGAGAAAGACGGCTGATAAACGTGTGACACAATAAAATAAAGAACGGTACTGTGGACTGGAATCCACACGGGGGAAGTGCCGGCGGGGGCGATCCTTCCAAGCTCGTCTTTTGGTGTTCCATCGCAAGGGATTATTCTGCCCTGCCGGGTCGTTCTTCGCCTAACTCCCTCTGTTCTTCACTGCGCAGCCTCAACCTCTGGGAAATGGCTGAATTCCTGAAGCAGCGAGGCGTCGTCAATGCGATCAACCTGGACGGTGGGGGGTCGGCCACCCTGGTCTTAAACGGGACTCTGGCCAGTTACCCTTCCGACCACTGGTAGGTGTTCGCCAAAGGGAGGCAGGATCCTGTCCCGGCCAATGACGCGGAGGCCCCTTCCTTCAGAGTTGGGTGGGGTGAATTTTGTGCCGAGTCGTTTAGGGTTTTGCTGAGTCAGTCGGCTGACTCTTTGTGCATTCGAGCGGCACGGTGCAAACAGCCGCGTTTCAGTGAGAGTTTGGCGTAGCAGGTAGAGTGTCGGGTTTGGGATCTGGGAGACACAAGTTTGGTCTGGCCACGCACTCTCCGCCTAACCAACCTCACAGGGTTGTTGTGAGGAGAAAATGGAGACGAGGAGAATGACGTTAAGCCGCTTTGCGTTCCGAATGGCAAGAAAGAGGAGGTATCATTTGTAGTGCCCCCGGTGACTACTTCATTCAAGTAAATAAATAAATGCATGCTTCTTTCTTTTATTTATTGATGTTATTTATAACCTGCCATTTTCACATGGACTAATAACATCAACAACATGGCATTGTGTGTAGTGTAGCCAGAGAGCCCAAGATTGTCTGGCAGTCTGGTTCTAGCTGTTTTAGTATTGTGCACCACAAGGTGGCGAGCTAGACTTGTTTTTTGGGCTGAGAGAGCTCTGTGGGAGCTGGGACTGACCAGTGCAGGGCCAAACCTGGTTCTCCAGATTAGAGTCCATTGCTCTTCACCACCATGCTGTCTCCTCACTGTGGACTCAAGGTGGATTACCCAGTGAGTCAGCGCAGTCAACAAAATGGGATGCTCAGGAACTAATGCGCTAGGATATCAGAAGACTGGAACCACCAGGAAGAGCG